TTTAATCATATAGTTTTCCTTTATTAACTTATATGATAAACCAAACAATAGGAGTGCATTTTAATCATATAGTTTTCATTTATTAAATTATATGATAAAACAAAGAATGGCAGTGCAAATAACAAAAAAATTGGAGTGCAAATAACATTCCCTCCCCTCCTCCCCCTGCGCGCGCGCAACTCAAAAAGGATCCATGTTTGTCAATACAAAACTATTAACACCATTGGCAAAGAATATCGATCTCGGACCGGGTATCGACTTAGCTGAACTCAGGGATCAGGGGTCAATGGGTTCAACCGGATTCGATCGAGATTGAACTGGATGACGTCATAAATAAAAATTATTTAAAATTTAAAATATTGTATATAAAATATCTAAAAGCATGTTAATATTAATAAAGGTATATTCATATATATTTGACGTTTTAAATATATTTAACAAGAAAATATAAAGAAATTAGAACGATCAAGTAGCAATTTATATTATTTAATGAACATTAACAAGTTCAGAATAAAAATTATGGACTTGATTGAAAAATAACATCAAAATTTAGGACAACATTTATAAAGTATGAAATATTTGAGGTAAATTAATAATTTTTAATAATTTAGGAATCAAAACATAATATTGAAAATATTTGACCTTTTTTCAAAAAATGCTTTGATTGAACCGGTTTTTTTGATTTTTCCCTGCCAAACTTGGTCAAACTCGGTTTTTTACCAGGTTTGACCGAGTTTTAACTTTTATGATTTTTCAGAATAATTGGGACCAGAAACTTGGCTAGTTTCCGGTCGGACCGACCGGTCTGGTCTGAGTTTAAAAACAAAGTATATCCATAGTCTTCTATTGTAAGTGATCCCCAAATCTTGCTCAATGACTTTTGCATCAGTACATCTTGCACAAATGGTTCTACTGTTCTCATTTTTAAGAGCACAACTGCAAGGGAAAACATTTCACCAGTCATGTTGCGAACATTTCTTGGCATTGAAACATTAATTCTATGAGTTTATCTTGTGTATATTAATAATGTACATAGTATCATTTTTAAATACATATCACATATGCAAAAAATGATATTCGAATTCAAATTGGAATTAAGTGACATACATTTAAGAGTCAAAGTATATATACTGTCAGTCAAAATATATATACTGTCATTGTATATAAGATTAATCATAATTCTATATACATGTTCCATCTTTTCAGAATCCAAAACACAATTTTTCTTTACAACCCATAGCCTTAGAAGCACCAAATAAAGATCATTATTTGGTACATTTAATATTTATGCAAAGAAGGGAGACTTAGTATCAAGGTCACCAAGAGGGGTTTGGAAAAATTTAACAATCTCTACTTTGCATTACAAAGTGAACAAGAAGGGGGAACATCTTTTGGACTCAAAGTTTCAACTCCCAACGAAATTGTAGCTAAAATCAACGTCATTGTTTGATTTTTGTTTTTCTCATCTTATTTTCTAAATTTTAAAACTGTATTTAGTTTTTTCCAGAATATATTCTTTTTTAAACTATATTTTATTGGTTTTTTTATTTAAATTATACGGTAAAGTAGCAAATCTCATTTGCCTATACTTTGTGGCAATATATAATTATATATTGGGTTGGGATAGTCAAGTCTGTGGATGTCAGGTCACAATTATTGCTTAGTTAGAGTTTATAATTTTTTTTGTAAGTTTATAATTGATTCTTATTAGTTAATTTCACAAGTTAGGGCATTCTAGTAATTTTCTCCAAACCAGATAGGAGAGATGGATTTTTCTTTGTACTTTTCTTGGTAGGATCCCTAATTCCACTTGGTACGTCAACAATGAATTATTCCTCTATATTTTAAAAGTTAGAAGGTTCAAGTTTAACTAATAGTGTTTAAATTAGATGATGCCATACATATATTAATAAACACTAATTAAATAATATTAAAAATAGAAAGAATGACAAAAAAGTACACAAAACATAACAAGAAGAATTTTTTTTTTTAGTTATTGCCCAACTAGACATTTTTTTTTGCCTAGTGAATTACTGTCTGGTTATTTTAATTAACTCGACCACCACCGAATCAGATAAATTCTATTTTACATCTATTCTTACTTTATACTAGGGGAAGGGTTAGGGAAAGAGATGGATCCAAGGGGGTCAAAGGGGATTCGGAAGGGACTCAACTACCATCGAATCAGATAAATTCTATTTTACGCATATTCCTACTCTACACTAGGAGAAGGGATGGATCCAAGGGGGTTAAAAAGGAATTCGGAGAGAATTAGGGATGGCAATGCCCGCCCCGCGGGGGTAGAAATGGGGCGGGGCGGGTGCGGGGGCGGGGGCAAAATATTTACCCCCGCCTTAAAACGGGGCAAGGGATGGGGCAACATACACCCGCCCCGTCCCCCGTATAAAAAAAATACACACACACACACACACACAAGTGAACTGAATTTTTGGTCTAGTAGCAGGTTAGAAGAGCATTTCTGTGGAAAGCACTGATTTTCGTCGACTTCTATTGCGCAAGGATACATTATAGTCTTTCTTACATCATTATTCCTGTGGTGTAATGGGATATTGTTTCTTATCTCTTGCCCCTCTTTCTCAGCTTTTCCGTTAATTCTTTGCTTCCTCAAACGAGAAAAGGCTCAAAGGTATTTCACTGCCAAATTTGGCTATTTTTTCTTCGTTCTTTCCCCTCATTTACTCGGTGGAATATTCTTATACAGTCCACTTTTTACTTTCCTCGTGGGAGACCGCGGGGAACTGCTGGGGAAACGGGGCGGGGGCCGGGCGGGGGTGGGGGATGGGGCGGGAGACGGGGGGAGTTATTTGACAACAGGGCGGGGGACGGGGAAAGGATCCCCCGCCCGCCCCATTGCCACCCCTAGAGAGAATTGAACTGCCACCGAACCAGACTGGTACCTATGTACCTGTTGGAAAAAATTTCAAAAAATCCTGAATAAGAATGCAAGCCAAGGGATCGAATCCCTTGGACAACACCCAATGATAGCTTTAACTCTTTCCTTGGTGGCCAACTGCTCAATGAGCAGTTGGAGTAGCTGGTTGGATAAACTGATTGGTCAATTAGAGGCTTTTCTTTACTAATTATTTTATTTTATTTAACTATTTTGCTTTGAGCAAAGTGTGAGAAACATTTCTGATTGGATTGGAAGCTTCTCCAACATGATTATATATTTGTAAAAGGGTTAATTTCAAAAACATTCTTGAGATTTATTCTAATAATATCACCCAACACCCTTAACATTTTAGAAATCTCATATAGTTTTCTCAAAATAACAATTTGGATAACATTGTCACCCCTTATGTGTAAAAGTAATATTAAAAAATGCATTGGAGGGGAGAGATTATATTATCTTTCTACTTTTATCCTTGTGCAATTTGATTTATGAATTTTGAAATACAAAGAAAAAGATAAATAAGGTGGAAAACTAAACTCAGAATATGAGAAGGTATAAGTGCAATAAGTAATAAATTTAATCGCTTCGTAGTTAGATAACACCTTTGTGTGCAAGGGTAACATTTTAAACTACTTCAACGTTATAAAAAAAGAGACTAAAATTTCAGGAGATTGGTTACAATAAGGAGGAATTGTAGAAGATCGTTTGCAGCATAGACGAAAATTAAAAGTAAAGGTTTTTTGCAACAAAAAAAATAAACATATTTTCCATGGCATTCTTGTTATTTTGTTTTTAGACATTTTGGCATGTAGGAATTTTATTTTACCTTTTTCCGGCCTTTTGCTACTTCAAAGTAAAACATTGGGGGGTAACATTAATGTCAATTTAACGTCTTTAATTAGGACTTCTACTCATATAACACTGATAGGGAATGTAAGTGACATTTTTTAAATTTTTAGGATGCTAGTTGATATTAGGATAAATCCCAAAATCAAACATGAAATAAGCCACTACTTGTAATTGGGTTCTAAGGATACGTCAGTTAGAGAAGGCTTACAACTTGCAAAAAACCTCAACATCCACTCTCTTGAAGTGGAGATGGACTCTGCCATTATCATCTCCTTGTGTAAGTCAAATAATCTTGATTGCAGGGAGCCTGCCATTATTTCTCATGAACTTGCACCTTTTATTCTTGATTGCAGGGAGCTATTGACTACATTCCAGAAAGTATGTTTTCACCATAATTATAGAGAAGCAAACAAATGTGCAGACATCCTTGCCAACTGGGGAAGAAGCAGCACTCAAGACTTCACTTTTTTTGAATTATGTCCTAATTTTGTACTTCCCTTACTTTTGCAAGACTTAAAGGGGGTTTCCACCCCACGGATGACTGTACCTTAATTTGTACTCTGTTGACTTGATTTTATTTTTAATGCATCTTTATTTACCAAAAAAAAAAAAAGGATACATCAGTGACCCAAGAAAGAACACTCGGACAGAAAGGAAGTGCCAAAAAAGGGATCAAAATTAGAGCTGTTAATCGAGCCGAGTCGAGCCGAGTATTTGGCTGCCGAGCTCGACTAGAGTTTAATTCGAGCCGAGCTCGACTCGAGTTTACTTCGAGCCGAGTTCGACTCGAGCTCGTTAGGAAAACGAGCTTTAAAATGTGTTCGGACTCGGCTCGTTAAATGAACATGTGGCTCGAGCTCGAGCTCGAGCTCGACTCGTTTATCACAAACGAGTCGAGCTTCACGAGCTCGAGCTCGACTCGTTTATCACAAACGAGTCGAGCTTCACGAGCTCGAGCTCGTGCAAATTAACCTTAATAAAAACTTATAATTTTTAATTTTTATAATTTTGATTTCTAAAATGACAAATATGCCCTTCATTAACGAGCTAGAGCTACTCAAGTATCAAACGAGTTGAGCTCGTGAAGCTACTCGAGTATCAAACGAGCATGTTTCGAGCTCGAGCTCGACTCGTTAACCAAAATTAACGAGCCGAACTCGAGCCTTAACGAGCCGAGTTCTAACGAGCTTTCGAGCTACTCGATTAATTTAACAGCTCTTTCAAAATCAAAACGAAAATGGCGGCTGCTGCTTCTTCTTGTTCTTCTTCAATTGCTAATAACCGCTCAGTTCATCAGAAAGGAAGTGCCAAAAAAGGGATCAAAATCAAAACGAAAATGGCGGCTGCTGCTTCTTCTTGTTCTTCTTCAATTGCTAATAACCGTTCAGTTCATCATCGTCCCCGTGGCACCTTCAAGCATAATCATTAGCCCATCATCTCTGTTCCGCTCAGACACCAGCAATCATCATCTACATCACTGTCTGTCCAACTTCAACCACCAAAAGGTCAACTTGATTTGATTTAGCTTTCTTTTTTCCTTTTTTCCCATTAAGTCGGATGCAATACTTATGTTTTTGACTGAATTTACAGAATCTGGATTTGGGATTTTGTGGAAGAGGAAGGAGGACGAGAAGGGCTGGCTGGGAAGTCTTGCAGCTGTTCGACAGTTGACTGGGTCACTCACAACTGCTGATGGTCTCCGCTTTGGCATTGTCAGTGTCATTACAATTTTCCTTTTCCCTCATCTATGCATTTTTTATTTTATATTCCAATCTTGTTTCAGATGTTTTAGTATGTCAATTAAATTCCTCTGTCCAATTGTTGGCTTGACAATTAATATTACAGTATCGGGTTTTTTTCGGGCCATGAATTCAATAAGGAAAAGAAAGGTCTCATTTTTCGTGGGTTTTGACAGATGAGCTCCATATTCGTCAAATTGAACGATTTATGTGAATATTTTTTGTTGTAAGGAAATGTGCTTTCCTTTTTCCTGGGTCAACTTTGGAAGCATTTTTTTTTTTGGAAAAAAGTTCTTAACTGGCTTTTCAACAATGTGAATAAAATGCTCAGAGAAAGGATTTTCTGGAAAATGAAAGTTATTTGAGTACAAAAGAGGTAGAAAAATAATGACAAGAGATATATAGCTTATGAGTGACTGAAATATCTTGTGTGAATTCTGTTTTTTCAGTTATTTTATAGATTTTTTTTTTTAAAATTTTAGCTATTTTATTTGTTCTGATGGGTATTTTCGTAGAAGTAGCGTTATTTCGTTAAGTTGGTTTTTTGTCCTACTTCAATTAGGGTTTTTGGCTGATTATTTGCAAATCTAATATTGGGAGTTGAAGGAGTTGTTGATTAGTGTTGTCACTTTGTAAACTAGGCGTTCTATATAAGATGCAATAGATTTAGTAGAATGCAGGCTTGTAAAATATAGATGATTCTTGTTGTATAGTATCCAACTTGAGTTTGTCAGAGAAATGACCTAAGGCATTGTTTTGACTTCCATGTGGTTTTTCTTTTGAGTTGTGAAGCATTTTTTGATTATTTTTTTATTTTGGATTGTATTCTTTTGTGTATAAAGGTGGTGGCTCGCTTCAATGATATTGTCACAAAGCCACTGTTGGAGGGAGCTTTGGACACTTTCAAGAAGTACTCGGTCAAAGAAGAAGATATCGATGTAAGTGATTTTGAGCTAGTATTTGTTTTCTTGCCTTTTTTCTTGCACCCTCGTTAGTTGTGACTTCATCATACAGTTTGACTTCTACATTTTGGATCTTGCTTCCCTTGATTGGACTTTTCATGTATCACTTAAATGTTATAATCTACATACTCATTTGGTGCCTATCTTGGTATTTTTTTCTTTATGAAATTTGCTGTCAAGCCAGTTGCCTTGTCATTTCCTAACTCTAATCATTCTTGTTTTACATTATAATATTTAACCTAGAATTTTGGTCGTAAACTGATGATGCCTTATTATGCTGGTTTCTTTCTTGCAAATGTATCAACTTGTATTTTTTTTAACACAATTTCATTTTTCCTATTACTAGAAGTACTAGCACATTTTTTTTTGGTAGCTTTCTGGGATATAGTTCGCTTACTGATTCGTTTTTTCAAGATGATTAAATGACATTTGGGTTCAATATGGTATCAAACCACATTATACATGTTATCTTGGGGGAGCTTTTAACGAAGTTAAGAAATGGTTCATGTATTGGAAGTAACACAGTTTACAATTGGGGTTTGTTAAATATGCAAGAAAATAGATTGGCCAAATGTATTATGTACATCACTCAAATATGCACTTTTAACATCTCTTAATGGGTTACTTATGAATCCTTATTATTGTTTTGCATCAGGTTGTGTGGGTTCCAAGTAGTTTTGAAATTGGTCTGGTCGCAGAGAAACTTGGGAAGTCAAGAAAGTACCAAGCCATCTTATGTATTGGAGCTGTGGTAAACACTCATCACCTATTTCCTGTTTGATAATGCTTGGTGAGTAGATTTGATTCCCTCATTTAGTTGTTTATGTTCCACTTATAATCTTTTCCCATTCAATTGAAGCATTAGTTATGGTGAATTTTTTTAGCATTCTTTGGTTTGCTTATAAGTTGCATCAGGCTATTAAATGGTATTCTGTTTCACAAAACAAAGTATGATTGCTACTGTTTCACTCTTGTATTTGTAGCATAATTGTAACTGACATTGGCTAGAATCCAGTGTTCGCAGCTTTAACGGCCCTTAAAATGGTTACTCCAATATCATAGATCAACTGTGACATTATTAGTTATTCCTGTGAGGACATCCTTGATGTTTAAATCAACCTGCTCATAGCTGTAAACCAGTCAAGTGTTCCATATGATGCACGGAACTGTCACTGCGAGTAAAACATTATACTCATTTAGACTTTACTCGTCTTCACTTGCTGTGAAGGCTGGAGTCCTTATGGATATTAGTTTTCCCGGGTTGTTCATAAAACTTGTTATGCTGTTAGACTGGAAAGTGTTGTCTTCAGCATTGAAGATTAAACCTACCACAAATGCACACATTTGCAAGAGTTTATGCTATGTTTTCCTATCTTTCTGTTTGGGGGATGAATCATTGCTTAATGTTGGACTGATCTATTGGACCATTTATGGGTTACTATCTTGATTTTAAGCTGAATCTTTAAATATATGTTGAGAGAGATGTAATTCAAAATACCAAAAACTCTTCAGTGAATCCATCTACTTTAGATAAAGAATTAAAAATTTCTAGTCTTGTGCATAGGGAGACACATACTAAAAAACAGTATGTGCACATGATGGATGATGCTGTAATCTTCTACTACTTTGCCTATGGCATACAATCTATCAAGGAGTTCTACAATACAGAAAATAATAAAAAAGAAAAAAATAAACTTGACAAGTGATAGATAAAACAAAGATGGCATAAAGAATTCGCTACCAATGTTTTAAAAATGTGTCCAGCAATGAAAATGCCTTGGGACAATCAGGTGGGGCCTGGGTATTGAAGGGTGTTTGCCCAGACAGTTGAGGCATATGCCTTAGCTGATAAGCCACGGCTTTTGTGCCCCAAAGTTTGATGCATATGTGCTGTAATGCATATTTGTTAGGAGTACTTCACAGTCAGAAATTTGTAGTTCATAGTGCATATGTTCACATGCATTATTTGCTTCTGTAATGTGGGACCGTTTACAATTATAAACTTAGAAATTCACTTGGTCTCTCTTTGTTGCACAGTCCGATCTCTTAATCCGTGGTATTTTTACCGGACCATCATTTCTGATTTATGTATGAACATTTTTTCTTTTTAATTACAAAAAACATTGTACTTATTAGTATAAATATGCCATGTAGTGTGATTTAAGGCTTAAGATAATGTTTCTATCAACTTTATATTTTGGTCTTCTTGTGCTTTGGAACAAACTTGTATGTATTTTCCAATTATGGAAAATAATTAAAATAAGTAGTTTATAAAGTGAAAGATAGACAGTTGTCCTTTTTGTTTTGGATGGTCTATAGATAATGATTTGATGGAGGGATTGTGTTTTTTACATCTATTTATTAGGTAATTCAAGTTGTAGAGTATGTTTTATTTATCCATCTGTTATAATTCTCTGTGATATTTTTTAAATTTAAAGCACTTAGTAATATTTTTTTATAACAAATTATACATAGTTTCTATGCATTAATATTTAAATTTCAAGATTTACGGGGCTACCGCCCTACAGCTTGGTGCTTTAACCTTGCCCCAACTGAGATAAAACACCATGCCTAACACCCCTAAAGATGGCTTTCAGGTGTTATAAATTTTTTTAATTCCCCTAAAGATGGTAATCAGATGTTATATCATTTTGTCTTATTAGTAATTTCTAGAGTCTTATGAATCAGGTTCATCCCTGCATCTTTGTGTCAAACCTCTTTGAAACGGCTCTGCCTTTTGTTTTATTATTCTCCATTTAACTCTTTGGAAATCACTTTGTAACTCACTGCCAGAACTAGTTCTTTGACAACTCCTTTACCTCAGAATATCCAGTTCTATTTCAAAGTAAGGGCCAGCACTCGCCTTTTTTAAACACTATTAGCTACATAACTGCCTTTACACCTCAGGTCCAGATGAATCTGAGGACAAACATCTACCTAAGTTAGTCATCTCTAATGGAAGTTTTCCATGCATTGATGCTTGGTAAACTGCTAACCTTCTTGGTCAAGTATTGGTTTAGCCATGTATAGTGTTTCTTGGGAAATTTGATCAAATACTAAAAATTAGAATTGTTTTAGGAGCATTTTACTGGACATATTCATGGAAGTTAAATAACCAACATTTGTTTTTTGGCTGACAACCAGAATGAGGCCAAAGATGCACCTTTCATTGTACAAGCATAAATTTAACTTTGATAAAACATTGTTGTGATCAGTGTAAAACATTGTTGTGATCAGTGTTGTTGAATACCTAAGACACAGTAGTTTCCTATTGTTCCTAAGATGTCTTTGGCTTAAGACCTAAGCCATTGTTTGAGGCCGTAGGCCGAAGGAGCTGTCTGATTCCGGTGCTTCAAGCTATGTAAGCCACTGTAGTTAGGATCAGGAATCTTCTAGCAATGCTTAAAAATGAAGCTTTTTCTGTGGAATAGTTGATATAATATGGTCTTTAACATTTGTTAGTAGTAAATTGATATGAACTAATTGCAAATATAATGTAACTTCCATTATAGAAGAGCGTGGAGAGTTTTTGCCGAAGTGCTACTTAATTTCAGGTTGTTTGTTTCAAGCATATCTACTTAGGACTGGCTTCTTATTGCTGCTAATGAGATTTCTAAGTTTTCCCTTAATCTGCATTTTGACTGTTCTTGCGAGCTTCAAGATTAACTTAAGTTACACTCATTTCCTTCCCTTTCTTGATTGTATTGGCTGTCCCGCGGAAAAAAAAAAAAGGGGTAGAATGGGCGGGATAGATTTTCTAAGGCACCAAATATAATAGGGAAAAGTTCGGTCATTACTGCCATTAACAAAATCACATATTTAAGGCTCTTTCAATGAAAGTTCACAACAGTCATGGTGATTCTGATTTATGTTTGAGTTGATAATATACTTCTAGATTATTTAGTAGTGGGCTCTCTGGTATTTAGTAATTGTAATAGAATTCCTACCTTTTGAATGGTGATGATGGCTCTAACTTCACATAAAACGTGATAAAATCAACCATCATTATCAAATTCTTCTTCCACATTTGAACCCTGTATTCCAAAAATTGAAAATGTAAATTTCAGTTGGAAGTAGAGAAACAATTTTGATTGTGCTGATGAAAAGAGGACGCATTGGCGTTTGGTGTGATTACTGCTTTCTAAATTGGATACAAGTGGATATTGGACTCTTAAAACATAATGAGAAGGTCATGCTCTCTCTCAAACTCCTCCCTCCCTCCCTCCCTCCCCATCTCTCTCTCTATATATATCTATATATATATATATATATATATCTGTCTCTCTCTCTCATGCGCACATACATGTGTGGACCTATTTTCTTCCCCTGTACTTATATTTTTTTTATCTTGGCTGTTGGATGATGGCTAGTCATCTAGTAACATTTGACAAAGCTAGACTATAAGAGGTTGCTTATAGTTTCTAAAAGGAGAGAAATGGTGATTATGTTTCTTCTTACTCATTTGAAGAATTGAAAACCTGTATCTGGATATGAGAGCATCTGGATGATAATGTTCTATTTGGGGAAAAAATTGTTACTTCAACTTCTGTAACATTATGCTTCTGCTTTAAAATAGTGATTCTATGATTCTTATTTTTCTTAAAGAGTACAAACATGTAATAACTGCTAAAACATCTTGTAGGTCATTTAGATCCTCAGTTATTTGTATGAGGTTTCATGGGTTGAGTTCATTCATTTTAATTACCGAATTATGGTACCATTCAACTTCATTACCAGCTACTGTTTCCTTATTTCATGCCAGTTGTCAGTGCATGAATCAATGTTCATGTGTTTTTTTTCCCCTGTTACTTTCTTTTCTGGCCAGTAGATTAGAGGCGATACTTCCCATTATGATGCTGTGGCTAATTCGGCTGCATCCAGAGTACTGTCTGCTAGCCTTAATTCTGGTTAGTCAATGCAGTCAAACACAAATTTTGCATTAACTTTCTGCTGGCCACTGTTAGCGGTAACTTTCTGTATTATATCTCTCACATTTGCTAATTCACTTTTTATATATGCATTATCATAGTACATTGCTCAACATGAGATTCTGTTCCTCATATGCTGTGTAAGAGAAAAAACTTTCTATAATAGATTTTCCTGATTTACCTAGTTTTTATTTTCCGCTTATTGACTCTCAGATTTTTGGGATACCAAGCATGAGGGTTAATTTACTGGGGGCAGAAGAGAGATGATTTGGTTATATAATTATCAGAAGTGACTTTGTTTTCTTTAATGTATATGAAAATGGAGTTTGTGCAAAGCAAGTAAAATACGATGTCTTTTATTCTTCCCTGTTACTTTATATTTGTTGAGAAGTTTGGAGGGGAGAGGAAGAGGTCAGGTTTCCAAGAAAGAGAATTATCCAGATCCTGCCTACATTTCCGTATAGATTACTAGCCCAGGGTATGGTTTATTTCAATACCGAATGAAGCAATAAATGTCAACCTACAAGTTTGACAAAAAAAAAAAAAATGTCAACCTACAAACTGTAATAATATTATTGCCCTTCATAATGGAAATGACATGCAAGTTTTCTTGATCTTAATGTTTTCATATACTGGGAATGGCTTCTATCTAAACCACTATATGATCTGGAGAAACAATTCTTACTAACTCGAAATACTAAAAGCATGAATTCAGCGCTAGGGGAAATAGTTGTTAGAGGAGCTTTGGTAGATTTGATTGTATTATCTAGATATCCAGTAGCTTAGTTAAACAAGTTTTGTTAAGAAAGGAATCAAATGATTGGTAACAGTGTAATACTACAGATCCATAGGTGGTAGCAGTGATGGAAATTTTTGCCTAGTTGACAGATGGTTTTTGTGTTAAAAGCACTCATCTTGTGTTGTTGAAAGAAGATGTTCATGGTTTATTGCAACTTGGAACCACTTTGAAATTGTCTGATTTGTAATAAGTGCACTGCATAGTGGTTGTACCTGTTTTTCTCATTTTGTGCTCATAGACACAGAAGCGGAGGTTCTTATATTCTCAAATGTCAGAAGATGAGAAAATTGTCTAGTGTAGGAACTTACGGATACATACCTCATAACTGGTACTTGAGGTGTTTAGGAATCATCAACTTGCTTTGTTGTGTGCACGCTTATAACTTCATCTTTGTGTTTCAAATACAGACAATTCTGTCCGTGGAATGCAGTCTCAAAACATTTACAGTACCTTAATGGTGAAATATTTAATTTTCCTTTCAATGAATTCCAGGTGTTCCATGCATATTTGGTGTTTTGACCTGTGATGACATGGAGCAGGTAAATTCATGAAATTTCTCTTTTGCTAAATACAACTCAATGAAAACTCATGGTTGACCTTTCTGATCTCCTATACTCTTTTTCATGGGAGTTATTGCATTGAAAATCATAAAAGAGTTCATCATATAATTGCCATGTTGCTGAATATGATAATCTTCCTGTGGGTAATTTTTGGTCAATTTCTATGCTGACGGAAATTGTCGCCCTGATCTTTACCAGTATTCTACAATTTTTCCCATTGGTACCCCATTCTTAAAGTTACATTATGATAAATGCAGGCTCTCAATCGATCTGGTGGTAAGTCCGGAAATAAAGGTGCTGAAGCAGCACTGACAGCTGCAAGTCAATTTCAGTTTGTTGAGTTGCTTTCTTGTCTCTTCATTTTCCTGTCATTTTACTCCATGGAGTATTTATTTGCTGTCTGGCAAATTGTTTGCTTTGTGAATAGTATCTGGTTTGTGTTCCGTTTAAATCAAATGTCATCAATAAAGAACCTTTTCTGTTTTTCTTTTTGGTTTGGTTGCATTGGAAAGGGGTGATTTGATGAATTTCTCCATCTCTGCTGGGCTTTGCCCTTGTAACTGGCCTTCTTTCTATATAATTTACTATAAATAAGTTAATGGGAGTGCTTGGAAAGGGCCTTCTTACTTAAGCAGTGAGGTATGGATCATCCAAAATAAATTATTTTTTGAGTTAAAAATGGGAGTTAGAAGGCAAATAAGGGGTTGAACTCCATAGCGACCATTGGTGGGTCTCTCTGTGATGTTGGTGGTTTCCCAACCAGAGTTTCTCAGCAGGACTCTAAAATATCTAGTTTTTATTAGTTCCGAGTTGTATCTAGTTTATGACAGTGCATGTAATTATCGGTAGGTTTCTAAATCAAATTCTGATTGATCGTTGCTCGTAATATTGTCCTTCTTCAGGTCATCATCTTATGAGTAAGAAACTCTTGCGGGAAGAGTCTGTTTTTGCTGTCATAGCATATTTAATGGCATGATGTTCGTTTTGTATCCTGGGTCTGACAAAATAAAGAGTTGTACCATATTTTAGAAATTAATGTTCCTGAGCTGCATTTCCCTCTCTAATAATGTCTATTCATGATCCGGTACCAAGGATGAATTTGTTTCCTTGTTTGAGTTGTATTGCAGATTGAAATGGCTTCTTTGTTTGAACACCATCTGAAATTTTAGGAAGCAGGTGCTGTCGACCAACATTAGAGCTTTGTACTGTTGTAATTCTTCTCTTCTGAACCCTTCTCAGCAGGCAGAATAGGATTCCTTACTCCAAAGATTTTGTGTTGTAATTCCCTGCATGCATTCAGTCGTGGGCTACATTGGGTATTTGTTGGGATTTTTGTAAACCTTATATAACAGTTTCTTCTATACTCTCATGCACTACGTTGGTTTCTAATTTGATGCCAGTTTCTTGTCAAGCCTGGTAACTTAAGTAGCAATCTGCATTGGGAATTCTTTCATAATTCGATTTTCTAGAAGCTGAACGGGAATTTTTGATCAGGTAATGTCTACTTGAGAGATAGTGATTTCAATTACGAAAGTCATTAGACTAGGGCTGCCCAATTTCACATTTAAAATGTGAGTTTTATGGATTAAATAATTTAACAGCCTTTATAGAAAGAATTAAAATATAACTAACTGCTGGAGTTGAATTAAATACAATGAAATCTGATGTGTCAAAGTCTATTTTATCTTCAGTCAAGTTGAAGATAACTAATTACATGTCTGAATTTTTCAATTATTTTATAAAAATTGTTTCAATTATCTTAAATGATTAGGAAGCAGAGATGGGGAAGGCATATTTTCAACTAAGTATTGAACATATATAATAGTGAATAAACAAGGGATGATATTCAATTTTGGAATATGGATGGTTTGTTAAACTGGTTCATATATGTGAAGTATGCAAATAGTTGATTTATTATAATATGTCTTACAAACTTCAAACTTCAAAATTCTGCTGGTGGTAACTTTTGTCTTGTGAATGAAATTGTCAAAATTTATTATGATATTTTGTTCTACTCACCCTATCCGCATTTCACTTCTTAAATTTCATTCCTTCCCTTCTTAAAAAAAAGCTAATTAGTCCATTTACTTTTAGAAGAAAGTACTATTAGCAAATCATTGTCATTACTACTACTAGAACTACCACCGCTACTACTATAAAAGTATCATGAGTTTGAGTGCCTTTAAGCGTACATGCATTTTTGTAGTCTGAGTTTTGTTATTCCAATTATCTATGTAAATATTTTTTTAAGAAAGGAAACAGGATAAAGAATAATTTGTCAATTTGTTAACTTTTAACCATTAGAATAAAGATTAACTTTTTATGCACTCACAGTGTAGTATTTTTTTTTTAATTACTAACAGTTTTGGATGTATGACATATGTGTTTTATTTGAATTTCAAATTTGAATTCATGTTATTCTTAGAATAATACCATAAAATAGGTGCGCTAATAATAGATTGTCAATAATACACTATACAGATAAGCACAATGTACAAACTTTCTTTTTTATTAAATGTACAGAAACTTACATACAATAGGACAATAATAATTTGAAGAAATAAAGATTGGTTTTTTAACTACTTAAAATTCAATCTGGAAATTGGTAAGGTTACAGACGCTTTCAACAAATGATTTGAACAAAGCAACTGGATGTGCCTTTTCAACCATATTTACAATTATTTGAAATTTTACATGAACCCAAGTGAAAAGTTGACGTAGAGGTTGATCCCTCAAAGATGATGATACATAAAAAAAAAATGTGTGGATAACAATACCTGAGTAGATTAATAATATTTGTCAGCTATGTCAACTCGAGGAATGTGTGATATCTTTATCCAGTCATCTCCTGTTTTGTCAGAGTAACGATCCCTCAACTTGTCGCAACGTCGAATATCCAGATTTTTGAGAGATGATATCTTGCTGAGGATGCGGTGTGGCAGAGCTTCAAGCTCGTAACAGTGACTAATTTTTAGCTCCTCCAGGCGTGGCATGATGGAGACCGTAACTTCTTCATCATCTTCACTTAAGTCTTCCCAATTTGTCCAATTTTGGAAGTAACCAAAATGTAATTTTCTCAAATTTGGAAATGCCACTGCTTCAGTTGAGAATGATGACTCGGAGTCTGACAATGTATCAAGAGCATCACGACTATTCTCATGTAGTGCTTTTGTAACTCCGAAGAATTCCTTACCCAAACATTCCAGCTTTTCCACTCCCATGAGCCAAAGCTCGTCTAGGGATGATAGCTTCCACAAGGCAGACAAGGATGAGATGTTGTGGGGCTTCTGGATCATTAGCTTCGTCAAGTTATTGACGAGAGACTTCGTCACAAGCCAACTTGGTAATTGGGCTCCTGGATAGCCATGTAGCTCAAGTCCTTCCAAGTTTGGAGGTGGTTCCATGGTTTCAATGCAACTTGGAGTTTCTATAAGGTGGGTCCCAGAGCTAAAGATCAAAACCATTCCACGCATGTTGACCTTCTTGCCAAGTTCCGCACTCCCAAAATCTACTTCTCCTTCAATTTCAACGCACAACGATTCCAGTTGGTTCAGGTCCTTCAAAATTGCCAAATCATCAGAGTTGCTCCTGGCGATGAACCGAGTCAAACAACAAAGTGATGTCAACTTCCCGAGTCCTTGTGGAATTTGACATAATTCATCGGTATTATGATTGTGAAGGTGCCTCAAGTGTACAAGGCCTTCAATCCTTTCAGGAAGGCACGAAAGCTTTTGACAAAGACCGATATCCAAAATTTCCAGATAATATAGATCACATATAGCTTCTGGCAGTTCCTTGAAAGGATTATGACTTAAGTCCAAGTGCCGAAGATGAATCAACCTTCTGATCTCGGCTGGGATTTCAGCTAGCCCACAACGACTTAAAGTCAGAGTCCTCACACACTTCAAACTGCAGAATAGATTTTGGGGAACTACTCCTCCAATTCTAGTTTCAAAAAAAGTTATAAAGCTCCTGAGCCTTCCAAAATCAATGACTCGAGAACTAAACATCTCCTCCTCAGTGCCTCCCAAAATTGTTAGATGACGTGCTCTTTCACTAGATGAATTTCTTCCAATTCCATCAAGTGCATGACATTCATTTTTTGTGAGAAATTGTGCAAAATCATGCACTATGTCATGCATCTTGCACTTCACATATTCATGACCATCTTTTTCTAATTCTTGAAAAAAGGAACGCATTGCCAAATTGTTGAAGTACTCACGGCCCACTAGCTCCAAGCGCTCACCTCTTCGTCTTGGGCGAACATAACCTTGTGCTATCCACAGCCAAATAAGCTCCATTACATATATCTCATGATCTTTGGGAAAGACAGCACAATATGAGAAGCAACGTTTCAGCTCTGGGGGTAATTCATTGTAACTTAAGTACAAATGAGGAAAAAGTTCCACGGCTGCTTCCTTCAATTGCCATATCTCACTGTCCAAAACATTCTGCCATTGTTGTACGGTATCTTTGAACCGTAACAAGCTTCCCATAGTCTTTGCAGCAAGTGGCAACCCTTTGCACTTTTCTGCAATTTTCTGCCCAATTCTTTCCACCTTCTTGCACAAGTCCCCTGATTTGTTGGCAAATGCTAGCCTTTGCATTATTAGCCAACAATCAGAGTCGGACATTTGGGTCATCTGGTGAGTATGAGTTGTTCCCACCACTGTGGCCACTCTATGACTCCTTGTTGTCACCAAGATTACACTTCCGGGAGCCCCATCCTTAAGAGAGTCTTTGAAAGGTTTCCACTTTGAGTCATCCTCTGTCCAGACATCATCTAGGACAAGTAGGAATCTCTTACCAGAAAAAGTTTCTTTTATACGTTGGATCAGTGGATCCAACTCTGATTCTTGAGAACTTTTTCCAGCATTCTCAAGGATGGCTTTCGCGATCCTTTTCTGGTCAAAAGGATCTGATACGCAAATCCAATTTCTAAGTTCAAAGTGGTTCTTCACTTTATCGTTATTGAAAAGTAGCTGGGCAAGTGTGGTCTTTCCACTACCCCCGGCCCCTATTACAGAGATAACTTGAACGCCCTTTCTTCCTTGACTACTACTCTTGGACAAAACTTGGTCTAGTAAAGCATCCTTATCAGATTCTCGACCATAGATCTCTGATTCGTCTATGATTGAGGTAGTCATAATTCGCTGAAAATCTTGAGAATCAGGAATCCCCCCAGTTGAAATAAATTTGAATTGATCTGCCTCTTTCAAAGTCGATTCTAGCTTGTCATTTATGCTTTTTATTTTCAAAGCAATATCACTGCGCACAGGAAGTTGTTTAAGACAAGAACAAAGGGATGGGATGAAGGAACAAACCTTGCTCCACAATGTTGCCTGCAATCTGGCATTCTGTTGAGTTCCCTCATTCTTTGCTCTGTGAATCTTGAAGTTCCATTCGTCCAGCACGTCATCCATCTCATATGTTATGTCCTCAAGCTTTTCTAGCCAAATTCCAACACTTCTATCCTTCAGCCTTCGTCTCTCTGCATCATGCAGCACTTTTTCAATGGTTGCCAACTTAGAGGAGATATTTGCCACCTCCTCTTCAACCCCCATCACCAGGTTGACCTTCTCCCCAAACTGCTTCACGAGAACATCACTCAGTTGATCAATTATCTTTGGAACAAACAATTCAGCCATTGCTTTGGTTTTTAGCTGGGAATTTGTGTATTTCGAAGTGGAAAACTGTTTGTTTGTTTAGAATTAGAAACAACAAATATGTTTAGGCATTTATAGATTGGATGGCATAAAAAATTCCTTACTTTGATGCACACTCAATTAAAGAATAAAGCATTCCTTATTCTAGTGTTTGGAATCAGAAAACATTGACGTTAACCTTGCACACAATAATAAAGAGAGAAGCAAAGTTGTGCACCCTCTTTTTTGTTGTTGAATTAATTGAAAAGCGTAAAACATGTGAAAAGTGTAAAACGAATTGCCAGTTTTTTTAATACAAAGATTATTTGAGGCAGCAAGTGTCAATTTTCCCAAATGAAATGAAATGAAATCTAAAAAGCGACTAAAATGCAACATGTGATCATTATCGTATCTTTTTCTTTTTTTCTTTCAGATAATGTGATTTGTCATAAAGTATCCATTCTATACTCTATAGCTGATCTATAAAAGGCAATGTTTTAAAATCCGGACCGTCAATTGAACTGGTGAGGTGAAAGGGTTGAGGTTTAATCGGTCGAACCGGTTCAACCTCGGTTCAATGAATTTTTTTAAAAATAATTTATATAAATATATATGCACAAAATAAGACATGCAATGGACTAATTTAAAACTTTATATGATGAAAAGTTCACT